GGTTCGGTAATGATTGGATTGAATTTTATGAATAATTTGATAGGTCGAACCGCCAATTCGGTGAACTATAGTCCTGATCTTTGACTAGAAACACCAGACTGGGATATGCATCCCTGAATGAGGAACTGAACTTGCTGAGTAAAGTTGGTTAAGTCATCTTTTAGGCGTTGATTCACCACGTAACCACGTGCCCCACAACTGTGCTTAATAACTGGAAGTGGGCGCTTATCTGGGCTCTTATCTGGGCTCTTATCTGACTCTTATCTGGCTCTTATCTGGCTCTTATCTGGCTCTTATCTGGCTCTTATCTGGCTCTTATCTGGCTCTTGTCTGGCTCTTGTCTGGCTCTTATCTGGGCTCTTATCTGGCTCTTATCTGGCTCTTATCTGGCTCTTATCTGGCTCTTATCTGGACTCTTATCTGGCTCTTATCTGGCTCTTATCTGGCTCTTATCTGGCTCTTATCTGGACTCTTATCTGGCTCTTATCTGGCTCTTATCTGGCTCTTATCTGGCTCTTATCTGGCTCTTATCTGGCTCTTATCTGGCTCTTATCTGGCTCTTGTCTGGCTCTTATCTGGCTCTTATCTGGCTCTTATCTGGCTCTTATCTGGGCCGTTATCTGGAACTTATCTGGATACGACAGGGTGTTTGTTTCAGAAACATTCAAGAATCCGGGGTGGGTAATGGTCGTCTGTACCATTAAATAAACAGTTGCTTATATTTTCTATCAGCTAATTCCCACTAGCATTTCTACCGTTTTCTGACCATTTTTGATATTCTGAACAAAATTTGTCAAAAGTGTGTCAAGAGTGCTAATATAACTTATAACTTCGGCTTTTAGAGTGATCTTTAAGCACCTTTGTCAGAGAACGGCAAATTTCGTGCATCAATTTGAACATGTTTTGAAATGAATAAAATTTATATTTTTCGTGACAGAAACATATTATATTCTGATCTGACAGTGGCAATAAAGCAATAAAGTGCCAGACAATGTTTATAATTCTCTATAATTCTTAAATGTAGTGGAATAAAACCGGGTCAGAATTTGCTTATTTCTCAGACAGGAAGTTCAGTTCATTCGATCAAGACTAAACTGCGCAGGGCAACTGCTTAAACACACCACTGATTTCATTAGTTCAGGTAACATCATCAATCATCATCAGAGGACAGAGTCACGTGATACTCTAGCACGATCTGGTCTAATATTGCCTACCACCGACTCTAGCCAATACTCATCAATATACTAATATTATAGTGTATTTCTATGCTTCCATGATTTGTGATTGTCTTATATAATATAGTTTGATGGTAGAGAACTTGAAGACTTATTGGCTCACTGCCAGAGACAGTTGATATTAGGGAACTTTACAAAGTCTCATTATATTTCATAAAGGTAAACCAGTTTTGAGCCCTGCCATTTTATTGGACAATAAGACCCCCGATTATTAAAGCACATGTGGTGGAAGTCAATAAAAACGTCAATAAAACATGTGTTTCTGGCATTACTTCACGTAGAAGTAAAATATGAATATGAAGTAAAATATGAATCTCTCATTTTATAATGCACTCCTTACCTCCCTGTCTCCTCACCTCCTCCTCCGGATATTTAAACACAACATCATGATAGTCCTCTTAATCTACAATACAACGTGGTGCTAATCTAGCGCTAATAATGTGCTAGTTTACTGTTAATAAAGTGATAGGATTGGTATCCGCTCTTGCAGTCAGCTACAGTACAGCTAACAGCAGCTGTCAATCCTAATTAATAGGTCTCCTTTATAATGTCACGGTATCCCACAGTGACACACACACACGCGCACAACACGTGCAGAACACCATGACAATACAGCAATACCACTTGTGTTGCTGTGAGGGGGGATTGTTCACCTCATCTCCGCAGTATACCTGCAGTTAGACTAACTTTGTGTGGGTTTGTGTCTACGTGTTCACTCATTCACTGGTTTATTGTATGATTTGGAATGTCTGTAGTGCATTGTTCGTGTCATTGTGTAGATGGAAGGCGGTTTTCTTGCTTTTTATTGCAGACTTTTCACTATTTCGAGCTTTTTCTTGATCATCATAATGTTATTTATAAATCCATTAGTAAACTTGTTTGATAACGTGCAGTTGAACTGTTTTAGTCTGAAAATTATTGTGGCCAGTTGTGGTGATTTTTAACGAATCATGCGGTGCACTGGTGAGTCTGGTGAATTTTCATGAATAAGACGGCAGAATATTATTTCTCTAGAAAGTTTCGTGTGTGGGCCCCAATCCTATGATTAGGGCCCACACACAGTTTACTGCAGAACAATACGATTAATCTAGTATTAATGTATTTTCATAATGTCAGTATGACAGCCGAGAAAACACATAGATTGTACAATCTTAAGCATCATTTCAATGAGTCGAGCATCGAGCATCATGGAGTCTGTTTAGAAACCACTTCACCACACTTGATAATATATCCAGACACTATTCTACCATATATTGCATCGCCTTTTCTTATTGTGCGGCGACAAAGCCAGTATTATAGCAATGAACAATTGTTTATCACTGTGGTAAATTGTATTGGTGACAGCAAACACTACAGGTCAGTTTCTAGAATTCTCTAGGATTTCTCTAGGATTTCTCTAGGATTTCTCTAGGATTTCTCTAGGATTTTTCTACTAGGCTTTCTCTAGGATTTCTCTAGGATTTCTCCAGGATTTCTCTAGGATTTCTCCGGGATTTCTCTAGGATGTCTCTAGGATTTCTCTAGGATTTCTCTAGGATTTCTCTAGGATTTCTCTAGGATTTTTCTACTAGGCTTTCTCTAGGATTTCTCTAGGATTTCTCTAGGATTTCTCTAGGATTTTTCTACTAGGCTTTCTCTAGGATTTCTCTAGGATTTCTCCAGGATTTCTCTAGGATTTCTCCGGATTTCTCTAGGATGTCTCTAGGATTTCTCTAGGATTTCTCTACTAGGCTTTCTCTAGGATTTCTCTAGGATTTCTCCAGGATTTCTCTAGGATTTCTCTAGGATTTCTTTCTAGGATCCTCCTTTTTATATCAACAGTTTCTGGTACGACAGGCATGATGTCAGCTTTAAGGCGCAAATCTAGGGTGGAGAGATTTGACTTGAGGAAGCTCCTTCGTAAACACAACACTCCACACAGGTAATATCACAGGGGAACTGAGGTTTAATTTAAAACAAAACGCAGTATTAACCAGTCTCCTGTCTCAAATGGTTCACATATTAAAAGTCCTTGAATTGGGTGGTTGCATATGCAACCACTGGGTTATAAGGCCCAAAGGCGATCCCGCGGCAAATTAACCCATTATAATAATGGGTTAATTTGCCGGGGAGTCGCCTTATTCGCGAGGTTTTACCTGATAAATAGTGCCTCTGTGAACAAATTCTCATCCGAGCACTTCACTAAATTGTGGAGTTAAACATGCAGCTTTGTTCGTAGATTCACACGGATCTCACATTTGTGCACTTGTAATTAATTAGTAAATGCGAGTGGAGCATACTTCATCAAGGTAGCTGAGAAATCTTGTAGCAATTTATTTGTGTTGACTCCTTTGAACGATTTATACGGACATTTTCGCTTTCTTTTTGGCCAGCTATATTATATACAGTTTAAGCACTAAAACGCTTTCAGACGATAGACAAGAGCATCAACTGATTTGAGGGCCAGGATTCGATTGGAATTAAAAACCCCTACTAGGATCACTAGCGTGAAATTTCAGCCAACAAATAAACAATTCCATAGAAATACGTGGATAAAAGAATTATTGCAATATGGAGGCCCTATTTAATATTTATACACCTTGAAATACATAAGGTCCATATTTTAATATTTCAGACTGAACGTGGACATGTTTAATGGACCAGTCCGGTGGAATGACGAAACTAACACACCGATCACAAAGAGGCTCCGTAACTGTCAGTAACCGCAGAATCTTTGTTTTTAAGCTGTTCAGAATCTTTGTTTTTAAGCTGTTTAACCACTTCCATCTGTCACGGAAAAACGAAATCTGTCAAAAATATAAAATATAAAATTTGCGATACATCGGTAAGGCTAGGGCAAACTTAAGGTTTTAAGTAACTGACAAATCAGTTTTGCAAAATCAAACTTTAGGTTTAAATGTGAGTGACAAATTGGTAAGCTCAAGTTCGGGAATCGGGCTACAGATATTACAAAGTAGCAGATAAACTTGCTAATGAGGATGAAGTCATTATGAAGAACAAATTGTCTTAGTGTCGAATAGGGGTATTTCTCTAGCCTAAATGGAGGAAATTTTGATAACTCTGACAATATATTGACATTTGCAAATTCTATCGTAGAACATGACGTAATGAAAAACCAGGTGCAGAACTAGATTATAAAAATTAAGTAATTGCATGAACTGGATAATATAACAGCACTTAATTTGTCACAAAAGGGCAGACTTGAGCAATCTCAATCAGAAGCAGTGCGCCACTGCAGCTGTGGTGCTATAAATTAATTGCGACCACAGCTGTTTAAATGAACCTCCTGTCCAACTCCTAATTCCTACTTGAGTGATTAACGTTCTGAATTCCTCAATCCCTCAGATTTCAAGGTTTCTCCAAACCCCCAAGAACAGATGGTGTTTTGTCTAGAGATGATACAGGTTCAGATAATGGTAATAGCAGGATACTTTACTGGATCTTTCTTGCTCCTCACGCTAAAGTGGATCTATCTTCCGTGAATCCACCATCATCTCCCGAAATTGTGGGGCCACTTTATTCCGACTAATTGAAGTCTGTGATTCAGATGTAATGTTTAAGTATCCGATCCAAACAGCCCAAAGAACCACAATCAGTATTAAAATAAAATATATATCAATTTCAGATGCATAAGTTATTGTAATGCTTAAATAAGTTATTGTAATATACGCAAAATTATTTTAATACTTTAAGTTATTGTAATAATTTAAGTTATTGTAATACTTTAAGTTATTTTAATATTTCAATGAAATCATGCAAACTTACGATATTTCTTGGGAAGATTGGAGCGGATACCACTGACAGCTAGTGGTGCAGCACCCATCTAAAAATAAGCACATTTAGCATTGCTACACTTCTGCTGTTTTCTGACAAATATGCTTAAAGACCATTTTTTAAATTTCAGAAACCACTTTTTGAACCCGCTTAAAATGCCACAAGTTGTCATAAATGTGTCAAATGTGCTTGAAAACCTCCGATATTTGCTCAGTGGTATTTGAGCACTTTTGTCAGAAAACGGCAGACTTATAGCTGTGGAAAATCAGCAATTAATATACCTCACCTCAGAATTTTAACGTCATCGTGTCGATAAAATGAACTATAAACAGGAATTTTTAGACAGACCACAACAACATACCTGTTTAGGAAAAGTGTTTTTCTTAGCCTTTCTCCTGTTATTGATGATCAGTTCCTCTTCAGTAAAAATCTTTGATTTTTTATCAGTAGATTGAAAACTGAAAAATAAACACGATGCAAAAATTTATGATGGTTATTGGTCAGACAAATTGTAATTATCTGTTAGTTAATTTAGTTTAAATTTTATGTAAGCATTTCTCTCACGAATGAATATTTTCTATACAATTTTAAATGCTGCTCCTCTTTGAAAAGTTTCAAACTTAGAACTCACAAAATATTGCATCATTGTGTACATTGTACGTATTACTTACCTTAGTTGTGGGGCAGCAAGGGCCACAACAGCATTTGTTTTCATGTTCTTATTTTTCTCTATATCAATGAGGTGAGGAGAGCTTTGAACTGTTCTGATTTTTGGTTTGGTTTCATTACTATAGAGCCTCTCAAAAACAGATGGGGTCAGTGAATTATTGAGAGATTTTTTTGAGCAGGTAGAATTGTGATGCTTTAATGTTGGAAAATTCTTCCTTGCCAGAGAATTAGCTCTTATCTGTGGAGTTGACTTTGAAGCAGAATTTGGTCTCCCATTTGAAGCCGAATTTGGTCTCCCATTTGAAGCCGAATTTGGTCTCCCACTTGAAGCAGAATTTGGTCTTCCATTTTTGACACGTAGTGGGGTGGCAGATGGTTTTGTTTGCTTTGAGACAGGTGTTGACCAGGCATTTTTTGTGGCTGTTGGACTGAATGTTGATGATAATAGAGATGGAGTTGATAACGGTTTAATATACAGTCTCTTTTTGCTCTTTTTGGTCTCACAGCGATCATAATATATGATGTCTTCACTGGAAAAACTGGGGCACTCAAGAAACTCAGCTTCTGATCCAACATTTTCCATTGAACTTCCTTCATCAATTTCTGGAACAGGCATGTCTTTAACCCCAATTACGTTTTGCTTATTTTCTTTTGACTGATTGTATTCAAAAACCTTAACTTCACCCTTCACAATATTTTTTGTGGTATTGATCTCGCGCGGTTTATCTGCCGGTGTTACAATCGGCTTTGACTGCAATATTTGATCTGTGTTGTAGACATTATATTTAGTGTCCGCTTCTGAAAAGCAATGGCTCATTTTAGGTTTAGGAGGACTTCCAAATTTACGTAAGCCACATTTAAAGCACCATGATGAAAGTAAACTATTTTCTTCTCCACAACCATTACACTGGTAGCTTCCAATGTGTTTGGCACTCACATCACTGTACAAATAGCCACTTTTAGCATCATTTCTTATCTTTGCTGCTTGTTTCAGTATTTCATCAATACCACCAATATCTAGATCATCCATGACTTTCAGATTTTAGAGTAGTGACATGAACTCAGCCATCCTTGAGAGAGTTGATCAACTTAGAGTTACAGAGAGTTAAAAAAGATGTAATATGATATTAAAATGACTGTTTACCACATCCCGTTATACATAACCCCTGAATAATTACAGTTATACACTAAACACCTATTAGACAAATAAAAACATAAATTGTAAATCGATAAAATTTACAGTACATTTCAAGGGAAAGGAAAAAATGAAATTCATTTAAAGAGATTTTCATAACAATTCAGAAGCAGGACTTTACAGTTTACATGAAATTATTCTATTTTCAATTTAAAAGCCGTGCAACACTCAGCAACAACAGAAAAAATTACAGAACTGCAGTGCACTTCATCACGGGACATGAAATAAGCACCTCCACACCATTCGCAAATCAAGCACCAGTGCTTGTCCTATGTGCGCCGACAAAGAGGATACTGTCTCACACTTTCTTGGACAGTGTCCGGCTATAGCCCAAATAATAGGTCAATATTTCCAGGACTATTACCTCAGGACTATTACCAACTATGTCAATGACATATTTGACAACCAACACACATCTACTATTTTCAATTTTGCAAACCGCACCAAATGCTTAGGGGCCATCTACTTAGGATGTCTGCCAAAATCACAGATTTTCAGACCACCCCCCCCCCCCCCTCCCCCTGTCCGGGTGTGTCCGAATTTTCAAAACCGCCCCCTTCCCCGGACATCCGGATTTCCAGCTACTTTCAAGAGAACAAATAAAACCATGAACTCAAATTCATTATTGATAAAATGTGTAGTTACTTAAAATAGACAATAATACATTTGATGTCGAACAAGTTTAGCACAGTTACATTTAAGTACATTTAAGTACTCGTTCAAAATACAGGGATCTAAACTTAGTGTCAAAGAGTTGAAATAAATGAGACTTTTTCGTTAATTCTGCCAAAATTTCCGGACGTCCGGATTTTCAGGAACCACCCCCTCCACCTGTCCGAATTTGTCCGAAATTCCAAAACCAACCCCCCCCCCCTCCATATTTTTAGTTTTAAACTAATTACAACACTACAAATCTATTACATTTATTGAGTTTCAGGAAGCAATGTCAATGGCGGGCCAAAAGGGGCACGAGGCCCTGGCCAGTAAGAAGCTCAAGAAGACTCTAAAGCCAAAGAAGAACTCTGTTATACTTCCTGTATTTGAAGACGGCTCGTGTAAACAGTGTGGGAGTAATGACACTGTGAATGAATCGATTATCTGTAATGTCTGTGATGGGATGTTTCACTCCGCTTGTCGCAAAAAAACCGGTGTTCAATTTCTTGACTCCATTTGTACAAATACCTTCCGTGCTAAGGTGAGACCTATGATTGCAGATCAAGCTCGTTGGGGTTATTTTCTATTCGTATGTGAAGATTGCATTTCACTGGTAGATGACACCCGTTCTTCCAAAAACGTTTCTCCACCTGGTCCACCTGTACCATCTGTGGTAGATGCTCCTAAGTCCAACCCTGTGATGAGTCATGATAATGGTGATGATGAAGCTCCTGATATTCTCTCCAAAGTTGAGCATCTGATGAGGGCAAACAACTCTGCCCTTCTGGAATCATTTCGTGAGGAAATGCATAGCATTATTGTCGACAAGCTTGCTCTATGTGCTCCAGAACATTTGCAGGAAGAGCAAGTTTCTAATGTTAACAAAGAAAACTTGCAATCCCGGTCTCCAAGTGCACTGTCCTCTTACAGCAACTTTTCTGCAGCTCTTGTAGGTGGTGCTAGTTCTCCTCAGCCAAGAAAAGTGTCAGCTAACATAAATCAAGTTGGCAAGGAAAGTAAAGAGATATTGGTGCTAGATAGTCCCTTTCCTTCTGCTGATATTTCATCTGCTCCAGATGTTCTATCTGAGTTGCTCTATGACACACGATTGATTGCTATGAAAACTAGCCTACTAGATTCACACAAGAAGATAACGCTAGTTTTTCCATCTTCATCTGATAGGCTGAAGGCTAAAAGTCTTATTGAAAACTCTGATGTCATTAAATTACTTGGTTTTCACATCACTCTTTCCCAGAAAGCTCTCCCTAAAGTCACTGTGTCTAATATTCCCAGTCAGATATTCGAAACCATTGAACGCTCTGGTTTGCCCGCTGAAGATTTCCGGTTACAGACTAAAAAAGCTCTTCTAGATATTATTCCCTTGAAAAATCCTGGACTTAAACACTTGCTAGATAATGAGCATTTCTTTGAAATTGTGTACATAAATGTTGGACTAAGGTACACTACTGCTGGGATCAAGGTCTCTCCTCAGATTAGGAACCTATTGACAGGAGACGGCAAAATCTTCATTCTGAATAGTGCTTGTCCTGTAAAGGATAGATTCATCATCAAGCAGTGCTATAATTGTCAGAAGCTCCACCATATTTCCCAAAATTGTCCTGAGAAAGAAACTCTGGTTTGTATGTATTGCAGCGGTAGGCATAGAACATCAGACTGTCATTACAAGGAAGACCCTAGCAGACATAGATGTCGCAATTGCAGTCTGTCAAAAGATCCAAGAGTCTCATCTCATTGTAACACTCACCATTCCAGCTCAGAGCAGTGCCCCATCATGCAACAGGCATTGAATCGGTATAAACAAAACATCCTTACTTCAAAAAACTAGCTACAAACTCTAAGTCAGAATGTCAGAGTATGAACTTTGCCCTGTTCAATTGCAGATCCATATGCAATAAAACTGCTGGAGTCATGCAATTGCTTGAAGACTTTGATACTGATATTTGCTGTGCTACAGAAACTTGGCTGAGAAAAGATGACAATGCTAAGTTTTCTGAGATGAAAGAACTTGGATATTCCATTCATAGCCAGCCAAGAGCTGGGCGGGGAGGAGGTGTTGCTGTTCTATATAAGAAAAGTCTTAAAGTGACTCCTCAGAAGTGCAAGCGATTCAAAACGTTTGAGTCTTGTGAATGTACCTTCAAATCATCTTCTGGAGATATACTACGAATTGTTTCAATTTACCGTTCTGGCACCTCCACATCTCAGAGTGCTAACATCCCCCAATTTCTAACTGACTTTGAGCAACTCTTGGTTGATTTAGTAGACAAACCTGGAAAGCCCTTGATCATGGGTGATTTTAATATCCACATTGAAGACGAAAATGATTCAGTTGCACAAAGGTTTAATTCACTACTTAAGTCTTGTGGGTGGGTGCAACAAATTTCAGCTGCAACACACAGAGATGGGGGCATATTAGATCTTGTAATTACCAGGGATGGTTCTTTTACTCACGATTGCATTGAGGTTCTAGATCCTGTCATTACTGATTCTGGCACATCGTCTGACCACTACTTTGTTGCTTTTAATTGCAATGTATCTCCAGCACCCATAGGCACTCTAGAACCAATTACTTACAGAAACATTGCTTGCATAGACCTAGATGCTTTTGTTGAGGACATTCTTAAGTCAAAACTATGTGACACTGATTGCTTCAATGACCTCGATAGTGCAGTTGATATCTATGAGTCTGAGTTGAGCAGTATTTTGGACAAGCATGCTAAAGAAAAAACTTTCATCCCAAGAAAAGATCATAACGCTGAATGGTGGTCTACACACTGTCAACAAGCAAAAGCAATGAGAAGAAAGATTGAGAGACTGTATCAAAAGAATCATGATTGCCCAGATTATAAACGACTGTACAGGAAAGCATCAGAGAGAGCATCCTCAGTCATTGTATCCACAAGAGATCACTTCTACAAAACAAGGTTACAAGATAGTGCAGGTGATGCTAAAAAGACTTATTCCATCGTTAATAAGTTGCTCAATAAAGAAAAAGTTAGTACTACTACACCTTCTTGCTCTTCAAATCTTGAGAGTGCTGACAACTTTGCACAGTTCTTTAAATCAAAGGTCGACAACATATACAACAACATTTATTTAGAACAACAATCCCTTGAAGATTCTCCTAACTCAGATGAATCTGTTCCTCTTTCTAATAGCCCAAAGATAGTACAATTCCGTCATGTGTCTGATGAGGAACTAGTAAGCATCATAAAGAATATGTCTAACAAATTCTGTGATCTTGACCCCATACCTACAAAGATTCTCATCAAGTGTCTCCCAGAACTCCTTCCTCTGATCTCATTTATAGTCAATGAATCATTAGTTAAAGGTGAGTTTCCTATAAAACTTAAGGAGGCTCTCATTCGTCCAAGTTTGAAGAAACGTGGCCTTGACGGTGAATTACTATCTAACTATAGGCCTATTAGCAATCTCTCATTCTTGTCAAAAATCATTGAGAAGTGTGTATCTATACAGCTCACCAGTTATCTTGAGGATAACAACTTGCTTTCTAAAGTTCAGTCCGGCTATAGGAAGTTTCATAGCTGTGAAACTGCAACAACCAGAATCCATAACGACATCTTGATAACTATTGACAAGAAAACTAAAGTTGTTCTTTTACTTCTAGATTTGAGTGCTGCCTTTGATACTGTCAATCACCCAAGATTAATCAAGAAGCTAAGATCTGCTTATGGCATTACAGGCATTGCTCTTACATGGATCAGGTCCTACTTGGCTAACCGTTCATTTTGTGTCAAAGTCAAGGATTCGTCTTCCTCATCAACTGTTCTTGAGATAGGTGTGCCACAAGGTTCAATCCTTGGCCCCCTGCTATTCATATTGTACACCAAAGATCTTGAGAACATTGCAAGTATGCATGGGTGCTGTATTCATTTGTATGCTGATGACACCCAGCTGTATTTCACTCTTGATTCTGATGACCCATCACAGCTAGAGCACAATATGGAACACTGTATGTCTGATATCAAGAAATGGATGACAAACAATTTCCTTCAACTGAATTCTTCTAAGACTGAAGTCATCGTTATATCCTCTAAATTTGACTCAAAAAATATTCCAGCCTCTCTACAGATTGTTAAGGATCAAGAGCCACATGTTGTTAGTGGAACTGTGAAGAGTCTTGGGCTGTATTTGGACAGTTATCTTTCAATGAGTGATCAGATTACCTCAGTGGTTCAAGCATGTAATATTCAGATCAGAAATTTGTGGTTTATTGCATCAAAACTGTCTTTTAACCTTAAGATTCAGCTTGTTCATGCTCTAGTACTCTCTAGAATTGATTATTGCAATAGCGTATATTTTGGACTGAGCTCTTATGATTTAAGTCGTTTACAGAAGGTGCAAAATTCTGCTGTAAGATTTATTTTCGGGAGAGGAAGAAAGGCACACACTACTCCACTACTTAAGAAAGTTCATTTTCTACCAGTTAGATTTAGAATAGATTTTAAGATTGCCCTACTTGCCTACAAGTGTTTAAATAATATAGCTCCTCCTTACTTAAAAGAGTTGATATCTCCTAGGCAGCAAAGTTTTAAAAATGTACGTCTTGATAATGATTATTTTTACCTTAGTTTTCCGCCCTCTCCTAACTATGTAAACACAGAGAAAGCTTTTAGTCACTGTGCAGTTAAAGTATTTAATTCCCTGCCATACGACATAAGATCAGCTGAGTCAGTTACATCTTTCAAGACCAAACTTAAAACATACTTCTTTTCTCTAGCATTTGATTGATTTTGCATTTACATAGGTAAAATGAACTTGTCATGTCTAATTTTCAATTAAACTAAGCTCAGTTAATGTAAGAGCCGCTTTAGAAAGCACTGGAGTTTATCTCCAGGATTAAATTATATCGAGTTATATGATTTAGCTATAAGGCGGTTTATAAAAGTTGTATTTATTATTATTATTATTTGCCGGACGTCCTAAGTAGATGGCCCCTTAATTGTGCCCGAGGAGCTTGACCAGACCGTTGTGACATAGCAACTACTCACAATTCACATTTCACATGTTGTCTTAGCTCATCTTTCTGTTCGACACCAAGCTGACACTTTAGCGTTCCCTCATGAATCATCCCCCGGCCCCTCATAACACTTATATATTACCAACATCCTCCATTATAAGCGCTGATTTCTCCGGCATACTCCCCACTCCCCTAGGACTGCCATACTCCAGAGGTGGGCAAAAAATAAAAATAAAATTGCAATTCCATTGATATTTATGTAACTTGGATAAAATTTTTCTACCAAAAACGTTTTCGATCGGGAATAATCTTTAAATTATTTTGGGGAATATTTGACTTAATATTAAATATGACGACGTCGTCGTAATGACACAAATGATATGAATGATCAAGCAACCACCTAATATTATCGTGTTTTAAAAACATTATTATTTTTTTAAAAAATTTTATTTTTCTATTTCAAATCTGTCGTGCTACTTGTAACTAAAATACTAATTGTGCTTACTGGGCGGCACTCAGCCTGTCATTTCGCGGAATCTCTCATATGTTTATTAACATAAATATATTAGCCTGTGGTCCCATACCAGGTACGGTAAACTGCTTATGCTAACTGGTTTTAATTGCTGCTAACTGCTACTCGCTGCTGCTCACTGCTTTTCGCTGCTGCTAACTGCTGCTTCGTTGTATCACGTGGTGACCCCCACTGTCGCTTCACTATAGTGGAGCTATAGTACTCCCCTGTAGAGTTTTGACGATACAGGGGGAGCCGCACACTCGTGCGCGGCGGGTCATACAACGTATGACAACTTCTTCGTAGGTTTATAACTTAATTGATGATCGCGATGTCAATTATTCACAGCTCGGCGAGGCCTAGTAGCTGGTAGCACCATCATATAGCCATGTGTATATTATTATATATATGCGTACTGCGTGACGCGCTTGTTTCATTGCAAGCGAGAGGGCTCTGGTTAAAGCAAGGTAGCACCTCTTGTGAGAAGCATTATTGGATGCGCGGCGCGGGCCAGCTAGTACATAGTAACGCATCACGCTACAAGTTTATATATAACCTACCAAGACGCGCCGAGTTGGACTCGTCGACGGTCTTGAAACAAATATTTTACAATCGTATCCCCCGTTGAATTGCTGCTAACTGCTGCTGTCGCGCGCGCGCAGTTTGCAGCCGGGCGCTATTGCAGCAGTGAGTTCAAAAATTTTACGTGACTTTGGTTTTTATGGTTTTGCAGCCGTACAAAACAGTTTTACATTAACCCTAACTATAACTAAGGGCCCATGCTTGTGCAGGAGCTGCATTTGCACTCAATATCTGTGTTTTGGTGACCCTCAGGTCCTTTGGTTACATACATTTTGTCCGAGACAATTTCAACTTTGACAATCCATGCTTAGAGGACAATATTATATTTAACTAATTCATTGTGTAAACTTGTATGTAATTGACTGATTTGAAAGATTTCAATAAAAAAAACCTTAACCATTGTTAATGGTCTGGCCCGGCGCGCGCTACCTTGTAGCACTTGCCATCGAAAAGAAAGCTAGCGTTATTGGGCCGGGCTCAGCCTGTCATTCCGCCAAATCTTTATTCGTTAAGAACATAATAGCCTGGGGTCCTCAGGTAAAACTTTGACCCTATAATGTATAAACGTTGACCCTAACCCTCCACCAAACCGTCAGCAGCGAAATATCAATATCATTGACTGGTCACGTGACCAAAACAATTTTTGTCATATTATCTCATATAGGGAAGCGTTTTTAGTTTTACCCTACACGTTGCATGTGGCGTCATTCGGCCGGATCCCAGCAAGCAAAAATACGTCGACCATCACAGGACGACGCCAGCCGGCACTCTCTACGCTCTTCGAGCTCCGATCGTCCTGTGACGAAGTAAGGACGATCAAGCCTGAGGTCCTTAGGTAACATCGACCACCAATTGAAAATTCAAAGATTTTTTGACATAAAGGTGAAATGTAAAACTAAAATCTTAATGTTGATTGATTGACGACGTCAATTTTTGAGCACAGCGCGAGCGCATGCGGAAAAGGACCGCGTAGCTAGTCAAGATGTTGATAAATATTTGACTTGTGGCGCGATGTGTTGCTCTAACTATAGCCCTCTCGCTTGCAGTATGCAGTAGCGCGCGACCGCCGCGCCGGAGGCGGAAATGACCTGGTTAGCTAAGTAAACGCGATGTGCCTTGTAGGATGAAATCCTACTAGCTGACGCCACTCGCAGCTGTGCTGCTCGCTGTACGTCAGCGATCGAAATTTATACGCGTATCACCCGTTAAGATGTGCCACCCGACGCGCCACACAATTTTTCTCGTTGCTCGTCGCACGTCGACGAACAACGAAGCTCGTTGCGACGCGCAATGAGCTGCCAGGCTAGGACATCGTCCTGGTCCAACAAATTTTGGCGAGCGATTTTCTCCAAAAATTTAATGAGAGCGCCGACTTCCACTCTGGTGGCGATTACGTTTTCACCTCTTGAGGGAATCCTACGCATGTTGTTAACTGTCAGACTTTGGACGAGGAAATGTTCTCGCGCCGTACGTTTATTATGGTAAAGCATTTTGGTACCAGAACGATAAATCTGTTTAAAATAAAAAGTTAAAAAGTTCGAAAATAGAGTGTTTTAGTGAATAACTTAGAATATATTTTTGATTTTCTCAAGGTCTGACTGATAGATTTTCTTTAAACTTTCCAGATAGTTACAAGGCTATATGACGGATAATGTGTGAGAGTTTGGGAGAATTTATATGTGCCAAACTTGAGATATAATGACTTCAAACACAAGAAAATATATATATACAAGATATTGCGAGCGTCCTGTTACTCTTAGTTATCTTTTAGATGCAATATCTGTAAAGTATTGGATGAGAACTGATTTTAAGTAAGGATTTTAAATTAAGTTCAGGATTATAAAAAAATTCTCCGATTTGCAGTTCGAATAATATGTGCTTGTGATGCATCCGGCATCAGCATAATCTCAGAGGAAACATCTCTCGCGTGCATATCTTTTGTCTCTTTTTTAGCAGAAATCTTTCCTCAGAAAGTCACCGAGTAAAAATGAAAAAGTCAGATGACTGTAACAAAGCAGCAGAAATCCCACACATTAATAGCCCTCTCTCATCACTATGCTGAAATTAAAAATATAATTTTTGACTGTACAATGGTAAGTAACTTTTCAAATCTCAATCAGGTTTTAATTATCTCAGTTACTCGCCAGATTTTGAACGATTAGGCGCTAGACAGTATGATTCTAAAGATTTACAATCTTAAATTTTGTACTACCTTTGTTCATCCTTAGAACAACATTACGAAGTACTCCAGCGGACGAAGTACTCCAGCGGACGAAGTACTCCAGAGGACATCTGAGCAGAAACGATTTCACTCGACCAAGGTACTGGAGCTGAAAAATTTTGAGTCATATTTCTTTTGTAAACAAGTGAAAAAGAAGTACTAAATTACAAACAATGTCATTAAGCTTATTTGCGATCATGGATGAAGATAACAATGTAATTAGGAACAATTTAAACATGGAATGCAGCATCGTATTGATTGAGTGGGTCTCAGAATTAATTTGAAGATAACACACTTTAAAAAAAGTTTAAAGCAGTCGGTCGGATTAACAAGTAAAAGAAATACAGTAGTCCCGGTAATAAAGCTTTAATATACCACACATCATGAGGAACAGTGTGTAAAAAATAACATTAAAATAATTTACTGGCTAAACATTTCAGGTTACTAAATGATTGAAAGTGCCTGTGTACTACTGCATAGTACATAATACTGTGTAGTGTGTACTATTTACTGAGTTATATTAATATATCGTGTATTGCTGGGAAGGCTGTTAATTTAGGATAGAGTTATTGTGGCACTTATATCAGTTTGTTCTTTTGTAGTTGTTCTCAAACTGCTGAGTAAAATTTTTACAACTTAAAAGCAGTGTTTATAATTTAATTTATTATTGTTATTATTTCAAATATAACAAAAGCTTGGCGGTCGATCATAGTTTCGCAACGTCTATCCCAAATTTAAAATTATTCTACACAGCCCACCTGTATAACATCAACCCAGGAAGTTATTAAAAGCAAAGCAGCGTGTACGAAACCATAGTATCAAAACTTCCTTTTCTCTTAATCTCTTAAAATATTGTACTAAGAACTAAAACAAATTCAATTGGGAATTGAAAGCAGTCTTCATTACGAAATTTAATACACATGACTCACTCCATGCACTAACAAAATTAAAATAATAGACCGAATAGAAATTACATCAAAGATCAATTAACAAGTATATTAATTGAGTGTATCATTAATTAAGTCCTCCAAATCCAGAGCACTGGAAGAGAGGCTGGGTTGAGTGATAAGTGAAGAAGTGAGGAAAGCTCATTATAATGATTACGTGAACATGTTACATGCTAGTGGAATGAGTATACTAGTATAGATACACCTGTAGGTACTTCAAGGGGCTTTCCAGAGACTGATGAAAAGGGTGATGGGCTTATATTACAGCATTTCGGTTGTAGTTGGAGCTAGGAGAGAAGTTGCCCAGGGTTTGGAGAGTAATTTGTTGTTAAGGATTCAGACAGCCTGACAGGAAACAGTTACCAGAGATTTTGACGCTGCCGTTGGATTTATTTTTTGCACTTCTCTCCCAAGGTGTGTATCGCGATTATTGACGTCCTCGGCGATTTTAAGTATGGTCTTCCTAATATCCGTAGAGTTGAACCAGAATCTGTTGGGGGTCGTTTCCACCACTAAATGCCCAGAGAAACCCAAAGCATAGAGGTCCACACGAGAAGTTATCCGTCTGCTGTTGGCACGGCATGGCATTGATATATTTCACATTCCTTGCTGTTGGATGTTCTTCTCTTGAACAGACGAAAATCCGGTCACCATCCTCAGGCACTCACTAGATGATTTAGTTGCTACAGGAACTAGCAGGCGATTATCAATCTTCGTTGCTGGCTCTATTTTCCTAAACTCTAAAGAGTGGAGGAATGGTAACAGGCTTCACTCCATATTCCACTCACTGACTGGTCGAGAGGCCGACTTCCAGGCCCCCTCATTACTAGGGGGCCCAGGGAGATCAGATCATGTCACTAATTAGTGACGTATAATTAGTAATGTGATCCATCAGTAGAATTTAACTAACCTAGAAATGGTAGAGTTCACATGTACATCATAGCTGTGCATTAAGAAGTAAACATGATCTTTAAGATTTGACCGCTCGACTCGTATAACTATATCACATAAGGGACAGGAGCTCTTGCTAAAGAGGGGTTCTTGTATCTAGGGATGTGAGACGTACGTGCCAAAGGCATGCAACGGGAGTGAGCCGATCAAGTGTTTTTAGGTATATTATATACTGGAAGATGATAGACAATAGTATCGCATTCTATCAACATGCCTACTTTCTCCAAATTCATCTCTGGTCGGACAGGATGTCAACAGCTACTCGACTCTGATGGATACATCTACTCCCGGAAGAAGGACAAGTAAAGGATTCAGCCCTCAAGTCTGCCTGGCTTTCACAGAGGATTTAAATCCCGAGTGCATCGCCCAAAGCCCTCTGTTCAAGAGTATGTGCGAGCTATCAAAGATCAGCAAGTCATTACCGACTTTCACATCGACAGGTTGAGTGTTGGCAAGACACCCGCTAAGAGGCGAAGGAATTACCATACCCAACTCCACGATATCTGTTGGGGGGGGGGGGGGGGGCCAATGACTACCAATGGAGACTTTTGGGGACTAATGGGGACTAAAAATCATGGGGACTAGAGGTCAACTCGTTGACGTAATTCACCATTTGTCCCCATAAGTCCCCAGAATTTTTGACAGTTATTTATGGTTTTCAAGTTAGTTTAATAACGATACGATCGAGATGTTTTGTCCAAGATAAGAGTAGGATAAATCTGACTTAAAAGTAAAATGATAAGCCCGGTTGTAATGTGTTCTACCACTGTACAAGTCAGTTCAGATTGAGGTAAATTGAAGTTTAGCTCTCGTGAAGGTAGAAGTAGCCGACTGAACTAACCCTCCTTCGACTTACCCTCCTAATACACTTAAAGATGTTAGATGATGGGGGAAATTGGTAGATCACCGACCGGTTATAAGCCGGCTAAAATTTTTATAGCCGGCTATAAGCCGGCTTATAGCCGGTTAGTAGCCGCTTACATTTGTTGTTGAGCGACGGCTATTAGCCGGTTATAAGCCGGCTATTAGCCGTTTAGGTATCAAAAGTGGTTATAAGCCGGCTGTAAGCCGGTTATAAGATATTAACTCAACTACATCGTACTGAGCGATAGTCAGGAGCCGGCTATAAGAAATTCAGGGAAACCAGCTATTAGCCGGTTATAAGCCGGCTATTAGCCGTTTAGGTATCGAAAGTGGTTATAAGCCGGCTATAAGCCGGCTATAAGCCGGTTATAAGATATTAACTCAACTTCATCGTACTGAACGATAGTCAGGAGCCGGCTATAAGAAATTCAGGGAAACCGGCTATTAGCCGGTTATAAGCCGGCTATAAGCCGTTTAGGTATCAAAAGTGGTTATAAGCCGGCTATAAGCCGGCTATAAGGCGGCTATAAGATATAAACTCAATGTCATGGTACTGAACTGCGGGTAATTTGTGTAACGGTTGTCATGGTAACCAGTTACGCCTGCGGGTAATTTGCTATAAGATATTAACTCATTTTCATGGCGAAGAACGATAGTCAGGAGCCGGCTATAAGAAACTTAGGAAAAATGAACATAATAATTGTAGACATAGTAATTATTGTAGACTAGTAATTAATAATTATTGTAGAATAGATTCAATAAGAGTGAGACTCCGCTGTTAGGGATGTTCACACATTTGTCAAATGATTATTAAATACAACAATTCAATTTTTAACTAAAAATTCTGTCAAACAAAAGCGGCAATATAACCGGCTAATAGCCGTTTTCGCTGAATTTCTTATAGCCGGCTCCTGACTATCGTTCAGTACGATGAAGTTGAGTTAATATCTTATAACTGGCTTATAGCCGGCTTATAACCACTTTCGATACCTAAACGGCTAATAGCCGGCTTATAACCGGCTAATAGCCGTTTTCGCTGAATTTCTTATAGCCGGTTCAGTACGATGAAGTTGAGTTAATATCTTATAACCGGCTTATAGCCGGCTTATAACCACTTTCGATACCTAAACGGCTAATAGCCGGCTTATAACCGGCTAATAGCCGTTTTCACTGAATTTCTTATAGCCGGCTCCTGACTATCGTTCAGTACGATGTAGTTGAGTTAATATCTTATAACCGGCTTATAACCGGCTTATAACCACTTTTATTACCAAAACGGCTAATAGCAGGCTTATAACCGGCTAATAGCCGTCGCTCAACAACAAATGTAAGCGGCTACTAACCGGCTATAAACCGACTTATAGCCGGCTATAAAAATTGTAGCCGGATATAAGCCGGCTTATAGCCGGTCGGTGATCTACCAAGTGGCCGATGATGGGTGAATGAGTATTTATAACACCCGTTCTGTGAACAGACTTGGGTGATCTTTATTTTAAGCACTGGCAAGCACTCTTTTGTGAATATTTCCATAAATGATCGTCAAAAACAAAAGAAACCAACGCCAATTTCAAATTACTGAGCATATCATTTCAGACAAATCAATACAAAAGTAATAAGAAAAATTGATAATGCGTTTATTTTCCTTGCGCTACAACTCGTGTTACTAGATCAATCTGATAAAATAAGCGTATATATGCAATATGTCTCCTCAATGTTGTCATTGGTAGTCGCCCCCGCCCCCTCCCTTAATTTACCTGAGGTACTCTAACAGCCCTCAAGTAGCTCCCAAGAAGTCAGGAATGTCCAGTGACCATTTATAAATATTCTAGACTTCAGTCTTGAGAAGTTTACGATCTGGTCTGGAGAAGCCAGATTTTTTGAAATCTAAATGGGGACTAATGGTGACCTTTGGGGACTAATGGGGACTAAAAATCATGGGGACTCGGTGTAAAATCGTTGACGTAATTCCCCAAGTCTCCATTGGTAGTCATTGGCCCCCCCCCCCCCATCTGTTCTTTTAGTATTGTGTGTGTACTTGTTAATTTAAATCAAAACTAAGGGGTAAAACTGGGCTAGATATAGGGTAGAGTTCACATGTTCTGTAAATCGTAGCTGGTGGATCACATCACTAATTATACGGCACATCACTAATTATACGTCATATAATGATCTGACAAGCAGCACTTGTCACAAGAGACAAAGGATCTCATCTCGGAGCGGAGTAAGGTCAAGCAGAAATGCCCATGTGATGGATTCAATAGATCTGAGTATTCTCTTGCTAATAAGCGTGTTAAGAAGAGCT